CTGGGAGTTGAAGTCCACTCATCTTAAAGTGGCCAAGTTTGGACAACACTGCCTTAGGGGGTAACACTCCAACTTCTGAATTACATTTTCAACAACAGGGTGACTATAACTGACCCTTATTATTTTTTGTGGCATCCCGTATACACAAAGCATTTTGGGTGATATAAACACAAAATAAATTGATTCACATCATTTAATGTGACTCTTCATTGAGTTATCAGAACCGGGACATCCAAGCTCATTATTCCAAGTAATATCAACTTCATCATATTCCTTCAATTTCCTATAAAGAAGGGCTACTGGCTTAATTAGCCACAGATAATTCTGCCTAAGCCTCTATCCACTACTGAGCTTCAGAAGCAGCAATTGTATCTGGACCAAATCAATCAATTAGCATGCTTACACTGAATATACTGTCAAGAAGCACTCTGAGATATTTTATATCAAACTCGTTTTTTAATTCTGCAAAAGTTTTAAAAACAGCTTCCTCAGAGCTATGTTGATCTGAAATAATAATGTTGAAAGAGGCACAATTTACCCCCAAATCCAGATTTAGTTGTTATATTTAACATGGAATTATTCCATAAGTTAACACTTTTCCATATATGCCATAGAAAATTGTTAATGGTATTGTTCAGTATTCGTTTGTGAAGGTATTGAAATTGATCCCTGAACAAACAGAGATCCCAATACTTGCCAGGATTTCTATAGGCTCCAATAATAACTCTCAAGCTGAACCCAAAAGGAGCTAAAGTGGACATTGCTTATTTCAGACATTGACAGAAGCTGGGATAAATGCCCAATGAAGAGGCTGAAAGTGCAGAAAGATAAATCCACCCTCCTTAATGCATAGGTGTAATTTACACAACTTGGATCTCACTGGGTGCCCTTGCCAAAGAAAAGGATTAAATTAGTTTAAATTAATGTGATCGATTAAATATTGGAAGACCTCTACAACTATAAACAAACCTTAGAGTTACATGCATTTCTCTTATCCCAAATATTCAAGGGAATTCTAGATCTTCTTTCATCTGCACTGAAATGGGATAACTACAAATTTACCAGTTGAGAAATTCTTATGCCAAGATACAGAAAGAGGTGAGAGGGTGGAATTGATCAGGCTAGAATGTGGAGATAATTTCTGCTTTGTACATGTACTGGCCAGCTTTGTTCCTGAGGCATGGGAATCAGAGCCTATGGGGACAGAACTTTCCTATCATCTCAAACCCTGTATAATTGAGGACAGGAGCTTATTTGAAAATGCTTCACTCTAGACTTCTGGCAGTAGTGTCAGCCTTGCAGGGCAAACCAGATGGGAAACACAACCAGATGAGCTAATTTTACTTTATTGTAAAGCTACATTGACAGAATCTTGCAAGTCTAAAAGTACAGTACTCCCCCTGCCTCCTTGACAGCCCAAGAAACTAGGGAAGATCTCTTCTGGGCCTCTTGCCCTCCTACTATCCAGCTGCAGGCTATGCTGTCTCTTATCTGACCATTCCCTTGGCAGCATCTCTTTGTCCAGTCTCCCAAGGTCATTCTCAAATACCATGACAGGTAAACCTCTAGGGGATGAATACCCAATATACTTTTTAGACCAATCAGTTGGAAAGCCATCAAGACCAGAAGTGTGCCCAAATTCATTGAATAATTTTGGTGAGAATTTCAGGAAGTAATGGGAGCTGAGGCCAAGGGCTACTGCTTTTCAGAAGTGGTGCCAGCTCTCCAGAATAGTCTCCCAGAGAAGATCAGACTGGCCCCCTCCCTGATTGCATTCCAAAAGATGCTGAAGATCAAATTGTTCCACAGAGTTCTAGTTAGATTTGACCACTTTTTGGGTCTGGTATTGGGAAGATATAAATGCTACAAATAAATAAATAAATAAATAAATAAATAAATTTCTTTAAGTCTAGAACTCAATAACTTATTAAACTTCTCTTCCTCTGTATAAGATGAAACAAAGTTTTTTAACTTCGTATTTAATGGAGACTAAAGATCTATCTTGGTCCAACATGGATGAAATGCATAAAATAATTATTTAATTTTCTACTGTAAACAGGTCTAATTTTGCTTCTCGTTATATAAAGCATATTTAATACAGCAACCTCAAAATATACTTAAATATTTTAGTAGCATTCTCTATCAAAGACAGCAATGTTAATTAAAATTAATTAATTAACTCTACCATTTCCTGTACTGTTTGTTTAAAAAAATCTTTATTGTCCAGCAAAGATAATTCAGTGACCATTTAAAGAATATACATAATTTTTCATCAGATAGAACAATAAGTGTGACAGGAACATCATCTGAAATTATAATAGCATCACTAACACATGTTAATGTTAGGTATCAAAGAATGACAAATCTAAAAAAAAATCTGGACTATGTACAGTGGAAAGAAAAGCGTATTTCCATTGGGAAGGGTTAATAGAATGACAAATTAAATGCAGACATATAATCCAGAAAAACATTATAAATTCAAGTATATAATCTGGGTGGTGGGATAGGGCAGGGCAACTTGTGACCTCATGACCACACTTGATCCTTAAGTCCCCATTCCACAGCAGGACAACAATGGCCATAATTATTGAAAAGTGATACACATTTTCTTACTATCTTGAAATGGGAAACTGTGATATGTAGGCATGTCATTGCTAAAAAACAAAGAACTCACCCCTCAACTCTCAAAAAAGCCACTCCACCCAAATATCAGAGGGTTTCATCTATTTTGCAGCCCTCAGTCCTCTGGATATATTACATGTAGCCCTTGGCCTGAATAAGGGGAACACTCTCCTATTCTAGGAGGCAATGCCTCTGCAACTCTGTGTTGATCTGGTTCAAGAATTTGGTGGAAATCAAAGGAGATTGGGTCAACTCAGATCAGAAAGCCTTTGGGAACTCTATAGAAGTTTTTGGGATCTGTAAAAGGAAAAATGGTGTACTATGAAAGGTTGAACTGATGTTCATCAGGTACATTTTGTTAACAGAATCTTGTAATGGTAATATACTGTAGATACTTGTTCTGAAAAGCCCAGTAAGCAAAGCATTAAAAAAAAAAAGATTTATTTACATTCATTTGCAAAACTGGCTCACAGGAATGAGGGAACAGTAAGTGATGAGACAAAGCAAGATATGCCAATGAGTAACACTCAGTGTGAGCAAGATAGCATAACAACCTAGATGGGAGAAACACAGCACACTCTATTCAGAAGGCATAAATTGCTCTTGAATGTATAATAACTGATGGACATTGAGTTGAGTTACATTGAGAAGCAATAGGAAATGCCTGAGAATTGTCTTGAGGAAATATAGAAACATTTGGTAACAGTATCAAATGTTTCTATTATTTTGTCCCTTCATATTAAATCTAAAACCATACTATTTTCTGTCAAAAATAGGCCAAGAGCTTTGCTGGAACACTGCCTCTGATAATGTAGGCAACTACTATCATGAATAGTAACCACTGATCATCTCAAATTCCATATTATAAGATAGAGAGAATATATATCATTTTTACCACATAAAATTGAGCATAATTTTATCCACCAAAATAATGACCCCTCTACTTTACTTATTTTTTCTAAGCTACAATTCCTCATCTATTGCAGCTTTTCTGAAAACTCAGTTGCTCTAGCTCCTTCATTTTTGATACATGTTTCTGCTTTACAATATGCTTTTTGGCAAAAATTATGCAGCAAGTAAAGCTTGCACATGATTTGTAGCAGGAAATTTATTTCATGCCAAGATTGCCTCATTCAGTAAATAGGAATTATGTTCAGGAGGAGCAAATAGCACATAGTAGTCCTTCTCCCCTCACATTATTCTTCCTCATGTAGCAGGCAATTATTTGGAGATAGTCTTCACACAGTTGCGTACCATCAGGGTCTTCAATCAGGGTTCACATGGAAAATGGTCATAGATAGGAAGCAACAGGTGGACATCCCCTATACATCATTGCTCCTTCAAACGCTAGAAGATTGTGGGTGGATTTCATAATAATGGAAGAGATCTCTTATTAAACTTGTACCTATGTCCAAAAACACCAACTGAGGCTAAGTCCATCTGCATTGTATTACAATATTTCTATATACCATCCAAATGCTCAAAAGAGAATATAGTAGTCAGCATGTAACTACTTCACATGGTCACAAGAGCCAAACATGAGCTCATAATTTGGAATAAGCGGCTATCACATGGCTACCTATTTTTCTTTCACTGAATTTCAGTTGGTGATAGAAACCAAATAAGCAAAGAGCAAACACAGTTTGTCTCTCCCTGTAGCAGATGGATGACAAATAAGGCCATAGGACTTTGTGTCATGTCTCATCAGGAGAAGGAAGAACTATATATTATAGCATAGTCTGAAGCTGGCAGTTCAGGTCAGCTTCTCCTGCACAGCTTAATAGGGACAGATGCTAAACAAAGCACAAGATTTCTACAGCAAGATTGGAAGACAGTATCATGTCTTATACTGTGTAGATTAAACTGATGCTCATAAATACTGTATATACAAAAGCTTGAATCTATATATGTCTTTTATATGATCTCTTTGATAAATATTCTGCTCCAAATAGAATGCCTTCTTTGTCATGATTCTGCTAACGTGATTCTTCAGCTGCAGTCATAAATATTTTCCGGCGCTTGGACACCAGCTCTGAGGACATGCTGAATCCCTCCAGCTGTTGAATTTGAAAATGCTACCTGACTGCAAAAATCAAAAGTACAAATCAGATAAGAACTTAACTGCCACAGTGGATTATGTCATAGGCCTGCCCCAGATGCTATAGGAATTCCAGTTGGGCATGGATGCAATACTACATTATGATTATTAGCCAGTCATAGCCTTACCCTCCTCTTTAAAGACATTTAAATTGAAGACTCTCATTATCTCCTATGATTTTATTTTTAACTATACATCCAGTAGGATAACATCTTTCGCATCTTGAAACTCCCATCATTCAGCTTACTTGTACTGGGCACACTTGTTCAGCTTAATTGCCAAACCTCCATGGTTCAGCTTAACAAAATGGTTAATCTGGTTCTGGTGTTGCAAGAGGAAGAGAAGTATCTTTTGATCCACTTTCTGCATTAAATGTTCTGCCCTAGACACTGTACAATATAAGTGTCACCTATTTTCATATTTTAAATTATTAATAAATTCATAATAAATTAAGTTACCCATGCACCTTAATGATGCTATAAACACAACAGCATCCTGCCAATACATTTGCCATCTTCCAGCTATTACCTATCTTGGGACAATGTTAGAAAATGGCAGAGGAAAATTCAGAACCGAAATAATCCCCATTTTGGATCACATATGATGTTTGAAAAATCTGGGTTTGATTAGGAATGAATTGGTATGTGTGGGTAGTGGGTGTGCATAGAACTTATGTAACTCACTCAACATAAAACAAAAACAAAACAAAAATGGGAACTGAACACTTTTTTTTTCAATTTTTCTTCCTCCCATATTACTTCCTCCTTTCTCACCAATTTTAACAGAACTTTTCTTGGCAAGCTTAATTCTCCTTGGAATGATACAGCATTCTTCTCAAGAACATACAAAAGACTTGTTTATTTTTTAAGAAATGCCAGGAAGATCTCCAGGTGCCCACTGTGATTTTTTGTTTTGTTTTGTTTAAACAATCAAAACTTAAGCAAATTAGCAAAACAATTTAATATTGAAAATCCACTCAATTTCAAAGTTGTTGGGGGTTTTTTTAGACTTACACTTGCATCTATTTGATCACGTGGAGCATTTCCTGTGTGTGTATGAGTGTTGAGTTAGTAGCCTGAAACACATGGAACTACTTCTGTGCATCCAGTAAGTCTGAAGTAACCACTTCCCATGGTTAAGATGGGCAGGAGTCAGTCTTTCTGTAGGTCAGTGCATGCATGTAGGGTTAATATCAAATTCTTGTATTGTGTTTCCTTGTAGCATTTGTGCAATGCGTGAGGACTTCATTCTTGCTATCACTCAAATAGAAACAGATTTAATAGTAATTACCTTGTAGAATTAATTATCTTCTGCTTCTTGTGTAGATACCCTGCAGGATATTCAAACCAACAAAAAACCTTCACTTGAAAGAATATGAAAATAATTTGCTCAATTATTTTAAAAGTGAGACATATATATATAGGAAGTCCCAATGCACGTCCTTTCATTATCATCTTTCAGAGAGTCTCACAGTCCATTCACTCACTAGTCTATCTTTTTTCTGGATTTGATGCAGTAGTTTAATCATGTAATTTGAGAGTGTCTGCACAGCATCCACTTCTAAAATACACAGTCGTTGTTAACCGGAATCACTGCATACACAAAACCATTTTCAACCTACAGATATTGCTTGTTATAAGAAGGAAGATTATCAAGCCCTACCAGGCAATAATTTTTCTCAGCCTCTCCTGCTTTACATGCCCTTGCTGAATACACAGATTTAACAGTCACTTTTTTGAAAACCACTTTTGCCCTCTTGCTTGCTTCACTTATGGATAATACTCATGTTCTAGCAAGGTCTAGCATGGCGAACTATGCCTAGGAAGGATGAAGCCAGAAGAAACTTTGGTGGAGGTCCTCAGAGGTCCTGATGTGCAAATCAGTCATCTGATCTGAGTCAGGGGTCCCCCAGAATTCTGGTAAGTGGGAAGCTTTAACCTTTGCTTCTCTACATCATCTAGACCCCTCCCCCACATTATCAGAGTCATCAAGGGAAAAGATCCCAACGATCATTGCAGAAAATATAGTAGGTGTCTTTTAATATTCATTAACGAAAGTAAATCTTTGCAGTGGGACCCCCAAAACACGTAGGAAGTAGAGGGTAAACCAGGAAGTGCTACACAAAGGAAATTTCTCTATATAGAATCTCCTACAAATGCTTAATATGGTATTTTAATGTAGTGTTTAGGCAGCATTTCTTCTGAATTTTACTATTTTCATTCAGTTTGATGGAACGGAAGTGACTATGATTTATTTTTCAATGGAAACTTTGAGAAGTTCTACCTCACAACAATGAAATGAGCTCAAACCAGGGGCACCAGAATTTCTAAAGCCATTGAAAAGAAGATTAAGTCTTTATGCAGCGGAAGAAAACTTTTGAGAAAACAGAAGACAGATTTCAGCACAGTCCATTGAAAAGAAGATTAAGTCTTTATGCAGCGGAAGAAAACTTTTGAGAAAACAGAAGACAGATTTCAGCACAGTCCATTGAAAAGAAGATTAAGTCTTTATGCAGCGGAAGAAAACTTTTGAGAAAACAGAAGACAGATTTCAGCACAGTCCATTGAAAAGAAGATTAAGTCTTTATGCAGCGGAAGAAAACTTTTGAGAAAACAGAAGACAGATTTCAGCACAGTATTGCTTTGCATATTCCCCACTGCTATGGCCTTTCCTGCAGTTTCTCTGTACTTTGCACATCAGCTGATAAATTTCACTGAAAATTCTTTAAATTTTAACATCAAGATTAATATTAATAATAATAGTAATAATAGTAATAATAATGTCCTTCTTATGGCTTTAAGATATACAATTGCCATACATTCTTTCCTTTCCTTCTGAAAAAATATATAAATATTTAAGTATTTACTACAATTGGTACGCTGCTCCCATCCAAACAGGACTAGGCACACACAATATATGTTCCTAGTTCTCTTTAATAAATCTTGTAAATGCTTTAGTAAAAAACACACTACTTACATTTTACAATTAGCAGGATTATAATGATGAGTAGAACTGCACCTGTTCCAATACCAATGTACAGTGCTATCCAAGACCGTTCATTCTTCCTTGGCTCCTTTGCCATTACAGGCATATGTAATGAAATATTCTGGAAAAGCAAATAAACCAAAAAAAAAACCTTACAGCAGAACCACACTTAGCTGAAGAGTTTGTTTGTTTGTTTAATGAAAGCTGCACAGAGTCGTCTGGAGCCAGGCAGCCTCTAAAGTATATTAATTATTAACAGTCCTGCAAGGTTAATGGGAGCATTTATTCCCATCAATTCAAGATTTTAGTTCTTTAGTTTAGATAGCCATTCATCAGATTACTTCACATTCATTCATTTCAAACTCTTCCTCAGAACTGACACTTCTAGGGTGTGTGGGTGGGGGAAGCGTTTTAAGAAAGATTTATTCAGACTTAAAAAGAATAAAGTTATACATTCCAAGTTTGGCCCACAAAAGATTCAAGTGGCCCCCACCTTTACATTGTTCAGGAAATTACTGAAGACCTGGTTGTTCTCCCAGGCCTTGGGAAAAGGGTGCTTGTCAAGCCCTTTTTGTTTTGTTTTTGTCTGTTTGGGTTGTTTTTTGGTTTTTTGCTCTTTTTGGTGGTTGCTGGTTTTTAACTGTAAACTGCCCAAAGTTGTTTTGGAGTCATTCAGCCTATAAAATAAATAAATCAATTTTTTTTTAAAATCACAAAATGTTGTGCAAGTGTTCACTTAAACGCTTCTTTGGCAAATTACTAAACAAAACTGAAAGAAATGGGGAGGTGACAAAACCATGCCATCAGCAGTTAGTAGCAATCTTAAAACGAAACACGACGGGAGACTGCAAAAACAGTATAATTCTGTCTGGCAGTAAAATAGTTGCTGTTCTAACTATAATTTTCCTTAGAACTTCTGGGATGTAGACACTAATAGTATTTGGATATAGATAGATATAGATATAACATATAAAGATAAAGATACACACACATATATACACACACACACACAAATACACACATACATACACACACATACACACACACATACTGTAGTCCAACTGTGATTGCAACTGTCTTCATCACTGTTCTTTATTAGGTGTGCCACAGAAGGAGACAGCAGGATATAATTATAACATTGGCCTACCTTCACTTTTTTAAGCTGAATTTGGAATTCTCTGAATTGTTTTGCAACCTGTGCAATGGTAGATGCTGTATATATTGTTTACACAAACTATTGAATTCCCACAATATATTCCTAGGTCTATGTGGCAAATCTTGCAAATTAATTTAAACTGTGTCTAGTAAGATATTAATTCATATTGACATGAACTCAGTATGTTATAAAAAGGTTCAAATTTTCAATAAACCTATT